TAGGAAAAATCATACACCGTCTACGCGCCACTATACGAACCTAAACGTTGGATTTCAAGGATTGTGGCTTCCGTGTATGTCATTTTTGCTTTATCACTCATAGATGGCAGACGGCCGCGTCCAATTACGTCATCAATTTCTGCCTGTACTTTCCTGTATACATCCGGGTGTTTGACAAGGAACAAGAGCGCCCAGCGCATAGTGGTGGCGGTCGTCTCCGTTCCAGCACCAAAGAGTGAAAGTATAACTATGCGCAGCTGGTCCACTGAAAAATATAGCGCATCCCTTTCGTTCTATTGAACATTCTACCGAATTAGGTAGAGAGAGATACATGGATTTTACCTATAAGTTATACTTATAACTCCTAGATTGTCTGATTTCCTGAAATTAATAGGTGTGGTCTCATTGACTGGCTGTTGGCGCACAATATTTATTTTGAAACCAAGAAATCATAATATTATTTATTATTATAATCCGGAGATGTAATAAAATCCGCAACTATATGTTGGATGAATGGACATATATTTTTCTGCCAAGTACCCGCGTATACAACGCGCGGTTTCCTGAATATTCTCACAGATTAAGATGCTTACAATTGAAGTAATCCTCTCCACGCGCCTCGCTTGCTTTCACTTCGTTCAGATAGACATCTATGTAATCGTTGGTCGCTGCTGCTGCGCCTTTAATATTACTGTGCAAGGTGCAGTTTTTATTGTAAACATCGAATTTTCATCGACTCATGCTTAGATGACATTTTCTTAGACGCTCATAAATCATATTACTTTTTTTAAACGTTAAATTGTTCCACGTGCACCTTTACTTGCGCCACGTGCATGCACCACTTAACCACGTGCGCGCGTGTGTGCGCGTGTGCAGGTACACGATCGTGCGTGCGTGCGTTGATGCACGCACGCATGTGTACGTACGCACGCACGCACGCACGCATGTGTACGTGCACACGCACGCACACACTCATGCACGCACGAACGTGTACCTGCACACACACACACGCACGCACGTGTACGTACGCACGCACGCCCATGTACGTGCACATGCACGCACACACTCATGCACGCACGAACGTGTACCTGCACACACACACACGCATGTACGCACGTGTGCGTACACACGCACGCACGCGCGCACGCGTGCATGAGTGTGTGCGTGCGTGTGCACGTACACGTGCGTGCGTGCGTGTGTGCATCGCTATTACATAACATGACATACTAAACATGAAACATCGCTATTACGTCAGTATCATTGAACAACTCTGATTGGCTGATGAATTGTACAATCGGGCAATTTTATCGCCGGCCCCAGACACACTAGGCGATTTTATCGGGCGGCTGAAATAATCGCCCGATAATATCAAAACGTTTTGATCTATGCGATTAAATCGGGCGACTCTATGCGATTGAGTGGACACACTAGGCGATTTCACCGGCGATTTAGTCGCCCGATTTAATCGGCTAGTGTGTCCGGCCCTTTAGGAAGACACGTACGCTATCGCATTTCACATACTGTCAATAACTAAGGCAGTTTTTTTGGGATACATATATCATGGTTTACTTTCACACACACACGTACAAGATACGAGAGCGCATGTTTACCATGCATTTCATTTACGTGTATATTTTTTTACCATCACTGTTTTTAACGTGCAGACATGCATAGTTTTGCTTTAATGAGTATACACATGTACTCGGATTTCGCTAATTAGATTATTAATATCATACAACAAGGTCTGTCCATGCAACAATGCGCAACAATGCACAACGATGCCCAACAATGCATAATCACGCAGAGATGTTGGTAGCCAATTACGTAACAACAACAACGGCAACGGCAAATATTCAACCAGGGGCAGTGCGCATGGCACGGAACCAACACTTGATATCCTATGAGTGAATAAACACAAAATTGTTTTTAGCCACTGCTGATATGTGTGTGTGTGTATATATATATATAAAGAGAGATATATCTATGCCACATATCCTCCCTTAGATATCCCCTAACACCTGTGTATGTGCATATACATATAATTAATGTTCCACCTCCACATCGCATGCTAACTGGTCATCCCACATTGTCACGGTGCAGCAGGAACAATTCTGAATTGCCTAAAACACGTAAACGTGCAACTTTGCCATGGTATAACGAGCAATGTTACAACAGCACCATGGAATAAACGCCAGCTATAAATACTATAACTCCCACACCCCCCCCCCTCTCTCTACGTGACTTAATTATACCACTGTAGGCATTTCGTAGAAATCTCTTTATAGTAAAATACTAGGTGTAATGTGCGTATCAACCCCTCCGAATAGTGAACGTCCCAAACATGGAAAGACACATGTATAGTAGTTAACATCATGTCCTATGTTCGCGATCATTATTGCAGGGCAGCAGTGATGGCACTCGTGTCTGGAGCACGCCCAAAGAAGGTGAGCAGTCGCAGGTAGGTCGTGAGAAGCCAAATTCGCCAACTATCGGACCTACAAAAACAAAAAAATCCAATATTCCATGGACACGTATTGTATATATTGCATGGATATGTTCAGGAGTCAATCAAAACAAAATTCCATAACTCCTAATATGTTCATTATTGTATAGATTAATTCAGTATCATTCTGCACATTCAATATTGTATAGATATGTTTATGATACTATCCTCAAAAGATGAGACAGTGTGCTCTACACAGGGACACAGCTCTACTCACAGACGCACTCTACTTAGAGGTACAGTGGAACCCTGATTTTACGCGCCCCGATTTAATGCGAATTCGGATATAACGCGATGAGTCGTCGGACCCGCTTTTTTGCTCTTATATAGCCACGTATACATAACCCCCATTTAGTGCGACCCCGTTTTTTTCGCGATAACATTTTATGGACCCAAACCATCGCGTTATAACGGGTCTACACTGTACATGCATCACAGAACGATACTATGATCTCCTTCATCTCACTTCACAAACCACTCCCGTCTACGCTACAGCATTCACGCGTTCTTCTCATCATATGTTTATTCTTACCTTAGTCTTAGATCAAACTTGGTTCTTTCCCACAGGCAGGCAGCACGCTGCAACAATGTCATGCCCTCTCTATTGAACTCCCCTCTCACTGCACTGAAAATGTAATGCGACAACAGTGTTAGTATTGAACAGGAATTATAACATCTGGTGTGTAAATAGTTCAGTAGTATCACTGTTAACATCCAAATCAAAATATATAGTATGTTCATGGTCACCAAAGTTACTCTGCAAAAATGTGTTGGTCTCTATTTTTTGGGTAAATAAGTATTTTTGTAAAAACCCATAAATTATTTATCCAATTTGACCAGCTGGAAATCTGATTTAAAAATATAAATTTTAAACAAATGTTTTTATTCACTCCTGAAGTTATGGTACTGCCAACCGTACCTCTTTGCCATGACGGTGTACCTATCAACAGGGTAACCATGGTCTTTGTTGATTGAACGAATCGTGTTGATATTTCTGCAACAATATTATATTGTAATTAAAACAATGAACTGCTGTAAACGTGATAGACCATCTGTCATGGGCATGATCACTCACTCACACACTAATGCACACCTATGCACTAGATGATGTAGGGTTACTTACAGTGCTACTATATTAGGTTACATTATTGCATCTAGCCTGAACACCTGCATGCACGCACGCACGCACGCACGCACGCACGCACGCACGCACGCACGTACACACGGACGTACACACACACGCACACACGCACGCATACATGCAGACTCATATAATATACAGTTATAGCTAATTATAATTTATCAATAGTAAGTATTTTTCTTCTAGTCTAAGCGACTGTACAACAATTCGTACTCTTCTACTAACTACTTCTTACAGGCACTAGCTATAATAAAACCTGGCAGGTGTACCTTGAAACTGCTGCATAATCAGGGCTTGACACCATCGACATAATGAGCATAGACAATTATACTAATTAAGCATTACGTTATATACCATACAGCACTAGCAAGAACGAGGGTTAGCTGCGACTAATCCAGCTGGCACCTTCAGCACTACACTTTTAGTTAACACGTAACAACTTGACTACGCTCGTTACAACAAATGCTGCTGGAAGTGGAAAGAATGACTCTGTAACAATGAAATAGTCCTAGAAATTAAACAACTCGCACTCAAATACAAATTAAAGAAAACTACATGGGGTTCTAAATCTAAACGCTACTACGGGACATTAGACATTCACATCGAGATGTGACACATTCACATATGACACATTTACACGTGACACATTGGACATTAGGATTTGACAAGTTATCATGCGACACATTGTGCCCTATTCTTGAACCTCAACTAACGAGTTGGGTATTGTACAGCACCTCAGTCAGCTAGGCATCATTCATATTTCATGTTTCTCATTTAAATATTTCATTAATATAAATGAAAGCCTGAGCGCTCTTTATTTGACACGTTAACTACTTTATATTATACCACGAGTATGATAGTAAAATATTGCTTAAACACGCGTTAATAACAAAATATTAATTGCAATAACTATGTGTTTACAATTAATTTGCAATTATTTAAAACCACTTTTTTTATTCACGCCAGATATTATCAACATGCATGCCAACAGAAGCGGGTGCCTGCACACACAGATACGACCTACATAATCGACACACAGAAAAAGACATCTTAAGAAACAAAATGAGTTATTATCATAAGTGTAAAACGTCAAAAATTTAAAACAAAAAAAATACTCTCGAAACGTTCCACTAGATGTCAGCACGCATGCACAAGTACCTGAAGACTAGTAGCATTGAACGAGGCATGCTTTTCAGCGCCAGCATGATCTCGTCCATCTGCCGCGCGGCCATGCGCCGCATGTAGGCAACGTCGGCCGCCGTGAGAGCGATGGGCAGGCGTAGCGACGTGCGACCGATCGGCCGCTGCATCAGCATCTCCGCAAACACGAAATAGTCTGAAACACGCGCGGTGTCGCTCGTAAGATCGACCGAGCCGACGTTGGTTGGTCGCTAATTTTGCCGGCTTCAAGTGGCACGAAGTCGAGTGATGAGCGCGTCGAACCCACATGGGGCGACGCAGTGGATCTACGTCGCGTAAGAACGATCCAGGCCTCCGCTACACGCACGTGCACGCGCGCACACACACACACACACACACACACACACACACATCTACCTAACATGACTACAACTCGCTACACGAGCGATCGGCACACGTCTAGATCTCATCGCCTTAGAGCCCCAGCTGGAGTAGCATGGTATACATCCCTCTTATGGCAAAGGTCCCCCCGATACATAGCGCATGGGCGTGGGCATGTTTAGCAGGGCGCCTCGAGCATGCACGTGAGGATTTGACTTTGACTGCTCATGCACAATGTATGTGGGATGACGTTTGCCATAGATGGGATAGCTACCATGCTACACCAATGCACGATGGCAACAGCTTTTTACCATTACCTACACCTGCAAAGGCAGCAGTAGCGCTGCTAATCAAAACAGCGCCACCTACAGCATTCACACCATCGACGCGTCTGGGGGGATCCAAAAAGACGAAGGTGGGTCAAAACTGGAGGTCAAAGGTCAAAAGGAGCAGGGTTTGCAATCAACTCTCGGCTTTGCAAGAACACGAGAAGTTTGCGACCGGCTCGAGGCGAGGAAACGCTGCGTTGCCGTGTGGTCACGGTCACAACCAGGAGATGCACTATCGGTAAAAAAATCAGGAAGTAATTCAGTCGACAAATGTCAACCGACATCGCACCGCGACAACGAAAATGACAATGCAAATCAAGGTCAGGGGGTCAAGCGACATCGGCAAGAGGCTGCAAAAGTAGTGACGACAGGAACGGACCGGATCAACCCCGAAGAGGACGTCAACGCCTCGGCATCGCCCCCATCGTAAATCGTGCGCAGCAGCAGCAGCAGTTTCAAGGCACCCGTGTCGCGGCTGGGATGGGATGCAAATTCGCGGTACCTGAGAATGAGCATCATAGGGGAAGGCATTCCCTTCAGCACGCCCATCATGCTTGCCATGCCCTGCTCACGCAGCCTCCCGCGTTCCATCTTGGTCAGCGCGAAAAACGCCTCGCGAGACCGCGGGAGGAACGCGTGGCCTCCCGGCGGAAACGACAGGCGCCTGTGAGCCAGCAGGCAGCAAAACATGTAGTATTCTGAAAACGCAATAGTCGGCGGCGCGGCCGCGTTATCGTCCGAGAAAACAAGTGGCAGTGTCGTTAACGCGTAGTCATGTCAGTAGGGCAGAAAGGAAGTGGCCATTGCCTACGCGCAGTCGTGTTATTACAAAAGAAAACAAGTGGCAGTTCTGAATGCGAGGTCATGTTATTACCAAAAAAAACAAGTGAGAGTCACCAACGCCTAGTGGTGATATTACCGTAGGAAATAAGTGGCAGTTGCCAACGCGTAGCTGTGTTATCACCGGAAAAAACAAGTGAGAGTCACCAACGTGTAGTAGTAATATTACGGAAGAAAAAAAGTGGCAGCACCTAAAGTGAGCATGTCAAACACAACTCAAAAATCAGAAGTCTGCTATAGATACTTCTTCATAATGTTCTCCTCATAGCAACATAAATGGATAATAGCAAGGCATAGGCAGCTTGTTTCATTTTATTTTGACTGCTCTTACACTAGGCACATAATAAAATCGTAATATAACTGTTTATAGATAGATATTTATATTGCCAAATTTTGAAGTAAAAGTGATGTAAACACCTTTTTATCATCCACCTCTGATACCATGAGGGGTACGATAACAAGGAAATATAATAATATAATAATACAATAATCCTTTATTATCGACCTCTAAAATTTGGAGTCATCAAATGTGAAGGTGTAAAGATAATGAGTTTATAATAACATAATGCTTCCTTATTAGCCTTTTCTCTTGATATCGTAACTATGAATACAGTGGGGAGAAGGGGTGGACCCCTGTAGGCGAGAGTGAAAAGGTGGCTTACCCTGTACACCTAACTCGGCAGCGTATGTCTTCATGCTCGCGTGGTCGTTGAGCACGATGGACTTCCACAGCTTGCACAGCGAGATGCGGTTGTGTGGGTCGAGGTAGTCATACAAGCCGTGGTCCAGCAGCACGATCTGCGCGCTGTCGTCTGCCGCCTTTCTCACCAGCACTGCTCGGTAAACAAGCACTTTTTAACACACGAGTTTATTCATTTTAATCCATCGGTTTTTTAATTTAAAGGGACAGTAGCCTCTAGGATTTTACTGCATACAACTGTACTTACTGTATAACAAATCGTCTATACCCACATGTATTTGTCACCAGATACTTAATTAATTATTTACACATCAACGCTACGAAATTTGAACAGCGCCATGACACCCGCGACCGTGCTGCCACCCTGAAAAAGTTGCGTATTTGCATTTTTATTTTGCAGGTAAATGACCGAGGGCTAATCACAAAAGTGCAATTATATTTATACCTAAATGCTATTTAACCAAACGATATTCATTTTAGGGCAAATTTATCCATATTATAACTGAAACTATATGTCGTTTATAAGATATTACAATCCTTTTGCTTTTAAATGAATAAATAAGAAATACCCTCGGTCTGTAGCCCTTGGCTGGAAAGTGGTTTTGCGCAACTTCTCAGATCGTGCGCTTTGAGTGGCGCCACCGTCGTTGTAATCAAACTGTAGTCGTTAGTTTTAAAACATTTAAAAAAAATATTTCTAATGGTGATTGAACCATGAAACTTTTTATGTAGCGCAATTATAACCTAAATTAGCTGAAAATAACCCTAGAACTTAGAGGCTACTGTTCCTTTAATTACTTAATTTTTAATATCAAGTTTTCTGTTAAAAATCTGTATTTTGAAATTAAGTAACTGATTTCCTTTAATAACGTTTTGAAAAAATCAAACTATAAAATAAACTTTTATTATTTGATAATGTTTTTTGATAAATAAATGTTGTTATTTGATAAATGAACTTTTATGTTTGAAAATTATAATTAACACGGATAACCATGTAATTTGTTCAGTGTTGACAACTTTGCGATGACTGTGCTTTTAATTTTTATCTTTATGTGATAAGAGTTATCACGTATATTAACTTTACAAGCACTGAACCTTGATCTAACACTAATATTACAAAAAAGAAGTAAGTGTTACGACACTTATAGGGGTTAATAAAGTCGTACTTATACAGTACACATGCACTCACCATTGCCAGGATGAGGATCAGCATGCACAAACCCTGTGTGGAATATCTGCTCAGCAAATATATTGATCAGTTTCTCATTCACCTGAAACGATCGTAAATCGGTCGCCACAATCACCCTGGTGTAAACAGGCGCGCAAATTCGGAATCGAATTTTCGGAGTACCTCGCTGAACGAAATAATGCACTTCTGTCTAGGCAGGAAAGGGAGGTGTAGCACCTGCCTAGGGCCCCAGAAGCTGTAGGGATGTAGACACTCTGACATGTATTTGGTGCTTATTATAATATCCTAACGCACACACAACAGCTAATAATGTTCTATCCAGTATGTTCACCAATAATAATTTACTATTGTTTAATAATTAAATGTAACACTTACATCCTTCAGAGAGAACCCCATTTTCTTCAAACATTCCACGTCACTTATCTTGCAGCCTTCGATATACTCCATTGTGAGCACTCTCTAATAAAATTAAAATGTAATTAAATTTTGAATGGTAATAGGATTTACTAAAAATGGTAATTTTTATATAATTCTACACATATGTCCAACTCCCAAGCTGTTCTCAACCATCAGGAAGCACATAAGACAAAACAAATCATGGCAATTCTCAAGCTGTATTATTCGACTTGTATTGTACATCCTCTGCTAAAGATTATTACCATACCTATAGTATTTATTTATTATATATATGAAAAGCTCAAAAACATTATTTCATTGACATAATGTAATTTATCGAACGTAAATGTTTCATAATCTATAATACATATCAATTCAGATTCACATGTAGCTGCCACTGTTAACAAGTACTGTGGCTTACTTTGCTGCCCAACTCCCATAACACTACTGGCACATAGGCATATTTAAGGTGACTCAGTTCTTCCGCACACCTCTCTGCATTCCTTGCCTCCTCCTCAAAATCTAATTCGGCTGCCAGAGTTTCTTTCAGGTCCTAGCGAGCGAGGGATAAGAAACATATTCAACCACTCAGTGTTTATAGATGGGAAAGACTGCATCAAAATGCTATCAATGTGCTAAACAAAATTCCAACCCTATACCAGATGTTCATCTATTCATTATTTAGGCAGGGTCTGTGAAACCTACAGCATGCCTCCATAAAATGTATTGCAACATGGCTCTTTTAAATTAATTCAATCAACTATTGATCAAGATAGCACTAATCATAAGTAAATCATCAATCAAGTTTTTACATGCTCTAATTAGAATGTGATCACATAAAACATTGGGATGACAAAAAGGCCTCCTGTGCTGCCATCTGTGATGACATTTGTACCAGATAATTTAATCATCTGCACCACCTTTATTTTCGAGAGAATTTATTCGAGTCGAGGAAATCAATGCTTCATTATGTTCCCATCTCACGCCTACATGCAATAGCAGAGCACCTGAGAGTTATCATAGAAGCACCTTACAGACGTAAATTGGCAATTGCCTTAGTGATTGTGAGAAAGTGTTGGGCACAACACACATTTGCTGCATTCAAGTTGCAAAACAAGGTGGTGTGAAAACGATGTCATGTCACATAGAATGCAAACCCATTTAGTGCACAAATCCCTATTAAATTCTATAGTTGTAGGTGTAATTAAAGAATGGATCTATAAAAAAAGGTGTAGGCTAAGGGCGTGTTTGTTTGGTCAGATCCACGGATCTCGATCCACGGATCTCGATCCACGGATCTCGATCCACTAGATCCGTGGATCTGACTGTTTGTTTGGTCGGATCCACGGATCTCGATCCACCGAACACGACCCTGCTAGCAAAGCGGATTCGAAGGGGATCCAATATGGCGGCCCGTGCCTCAGCCAATCACAGCTTGTTCTTTGTTATGAACCATCCCGTGATAGGTCACAATGAAATGCAAACCGTTGAAAGTGAGTTTACGTTTGTTTGGGGCGACCTGGACAATCTGCAGCCGGATATCCGCGCGAAGCGCTCAAACGCCGCCCTAGCGGCGCACTTTATCGATTTCGCTGCCCTCTTCCCAACCCCATTGCTCGGGTCCTTTCTAGGTATAGGTGGAAGCCGTTTTATCGCTGAATTGAGCAGTTCTGCCCATTGCACGAGGGTTCCCACTACCCAGTTAGGTCGAGACTGGCTAGAAATGCTCCCAATTCTTTGTTCGCTACTAGGCGCGCTTGGTTTGCTGTAAAAACCCGACTTTGAATTTTTTTGTTCACATTGTAACAATATATAGCGCTCATGCGTAGCGTTGACTGGCTGAGTTTAGAGGATCCGATATATAGGAACAATACAACATGT